TTCAGTTGGAGTGACCGAGGATCCAATCTTCTCCTATCAAGTTGTAGAACAACAGCAGTGTAAGTATCATCACTTATCTGTTAATTATCTATTCTGCAACTATAATTACCATGTTGCAGTGAACTACGTGCGACCTGTTATCATCCTCGGAGCTTTGAAAGATCGTGTCGATGACGAGCTTGTTACTAGAAATCCAGATCGCTTCAGCAGCTGTGTTCCCCGTGAGTTAGTCACATCAAAATTTCGATGCCTCTTGTTATGACATTAGTCTTTGTGGGGATAGGGGCTGCCTGAATAAAAGCTGACGGAAGTCACAATTAGCCTGGAGGAGGGGGAAGGTGGCGAGTTTAAAAAACGCCTCCATCAGTTAAGAAACGTTCTCATAATCTTGAGCTTTCAAATATAGAGGTTTTCTCTGAATTTGAGGTCTAAAATAGTAGCAAAATTTCATCAAAATCTTGAATCCTTTTGATATCCTTGAAAAATCAAGGGCTAAAAATAGAATTTGAAGCCATCAAGGAAGATAGATCATCCTTTAGTAGCTTAAATTTTTAAGAGAAACAGTAGCAGTACCTTGAGAAAATAAGTTCTACTGTCCACTTCGTAGCTGGCAAATTTTTTCATTCAAGAGTATTAGAGGATCAACTTTTCACTACCACTTTATAAGCAAAGCCCAAATGGAACACGATGTCAAGAACAATCTCTTCATTGAAGCTGGCCAGTTCCAGAATAATCTCTATGGAACTAGTATCGACAGTGTGAGAATGGTTGCTCAACAGGTGATTCTCTTCATGATCTTATGGATAAGTACAAATTCAATTCATACTTATTTTTCAGGGTCGTCATTGCATTCTAGACGTGAGCGGTAGCGCAATTCGCCGTCTGCAGTCGGTTGCCAATATCTATCCAATTGCCGTATTTATAAAGCCATCCAGCCAGCATCATATAATGTAAGAAATCGTGATTTTCGCGGTTGTCCTTGAATCCGAAGTCGATAATGATTGCTAATAATCTGCAGGCAATTGTATCATTCTTTGAATGAGGACGAGGCCATGCAACAATTCCAACGATGTCAACGATTAGAGCAGACGTTTGGCGATTTGTTCACATGTAAGTGGATTTTTGATTAGAATTTGTAATTCGGGTTAAACTTCGCACGTATGGCTCACAATCTTTGTGTTTCAAGAGAGCATAAATTAGAAATGATAATACTGGGCGGCTGTAATGAGAAGTGGGTAGATGGTCGATAGAATTCCAGGAAAGTGTGAGTAGATGCTTATCACTATCTCCCCTATTCTAGATGTCGTCTCGCATGGACAATCTAATCTGCTGAGGAAGTCATAAATCGCGTGCAGCACCTCATCGCCGCAGAAGGACGACCGTACATTTGGTTGCCAAATAACAGTAGGCAGATCTAAAATAGTGATAAAGCCGATTTTTATTGTTTGTATCCAGTTTTTCATAAACATTCGCAAATCTATCTACCCTATATTCGCTCTTCCCTCGTCACTTTCATTTATGCATTTGTCCTTTTCTGTTGAAAGCCTCTTCGTT